ATTCTTTGATTATAAAAATAAAACAAAAAAAATAGAAACTCCTCTCGAGTTGTTTTCGATGAGGGTTTTAATTGTAAAATGAAATATCTTCGGATTAGATTTTTTTTTTTTTTTGTAGGTTATGCAAACTAACCAATCCTCTGTTTCAATCATTTTTTCTTAAAATCTAAAAAGAAAATATAAATTTGGTACATTCATGATAGTATTAAGAGATCATTTTAAAAATTTGTTGCCTATGGGAAAGCAGAATAGTTCTATGGACTCAAAAGAAAATCCATTTCCTAATTTTGCAGCCTATCTTGGTTTCAGCCATGGCTATACCTATAGGGTTGTAAAGGAACCGAGTCGGGTCCAGCTCAAAAAGGAGCTGCCACGTCAGGTCAAAATTAAAACTAAAACATAAATATAACGGGTGCGGTTTGGATAGGGCCGAGGCTCTAAACAATCAAAGTAGACCACACCTTAAAATAGTATTGAAAAATATGGTTCAATATTGGGAATCTTTTAGATATTTTTAAAATATATTTTCATCTTTAATTATAAATTTTAAAGTTTTAAAAATAGTGTAGATCGAGCAAATCTATGAAAAATTGAAAATTTTGAAAATTAACTGCCCAAAAATGCATTTCAAGATGTACTATTTCGAAAACTTAAAATCCATTTTTTTCTCAAATCAATGCATCTTGATGTCGGGATGGTCAAATTGAGGATATTTGGGCATTAAAACAACCTCTCCAAGTGAATTTTTGAGGTGCGCTCTAATTTATACTACATGTATTTTATAATATAAAATAAGTACATATAATTTATACTACATGTATTTTATAATATAAAATAGGTACATATAAAACTAATCCAACTTGACTGGGTTTAATTCAGGCTAGGGCTAGAACCGGACCAGACCAACCTGATTACCACCCTGACATGGTGCTCTTATTCTTAGTGTGGTCAAATCAAACTCTTACAAACCAAACTAGAAATGGGAAAAGAGGGAAAGTTTGGCACCCCACATGCTCATTGTTATTTTATGTAAAAAAATTTCATAGATATACAGCCTTGAATTTGGGCATGCCTATATTCTAACAGACAGGCCAAGTGTTCCACTCTCAAACTCAGGAGAATGGGCATATCATCTTCGGACCATGGGTCCTCCCCACTTGGAGAATCATCAAAAGGCAGCAACTAAGTTCAAAAAAAGAAGAAAGAAAAGTTAAAAAGCAAAGAGAGAAAAGATAGACTCGTTTCTTTACCCCAAACTGACTACCTCAGATAAGGAAAGTGATGAGAATCATGGTGCGTTATCAAGTAGGAGTGATGGTGCTGATAGAGAAGGTATCCTCTTGTCCCTAAATTATCAAATCAAATTCCAACGGATGCGCTTTCCGCATTTTTTGACATTAAAATATGCACTATAGTGACTAATCTCAATCATGAGATTAATTGGCTTCTGTACAAAGTATCATGGTTCTTGTGTTTATTATATATATTTTTTATTTAGATCCTAATTATAGTCTCCTGCAGATGTAGAGCTGACGTCAAATTCAATTGAGCTCATGTCTCGATGGAAGGGGAAAGCAGACTAGTATTGACCAACGACTTATGCCTTGTGGTATAATATGTCACATCATGGAGACATCCATCGTGTCAAACGGTGGACATTCACTTAAATTAGTGTTTGAAACTCTCAAGATGATCGTGTAATTAGTCCATTGCATCAAAAATCAAGCGGTTCAAATTCTGATCAATTGGTTAAACCTTATTGGATCGGAATTAGCCTTGGTTTCGGTTTTGACCAATTTTAGTGAATTGGTCACTAAAATTTTAAAAATTCAAAATTTAAAGAACTTTTATAAAATTAAAAAATATATATATATTTTATTTGTATTCTATTTTTTAATCACTTTGATAAAGATTGGAAATTGTTTTGGCTACTAAAACTTATTTTTATATTTTTTCCATCTTTTTTGAAAAATTTCAAAAATATTTCTAAGTACAAATCAATTCTTTAAAACCCAATTTTTTACCGATTTTCAACTTCATTAATTTTCAACTCTAAGTTTGGATGTGCTTTTTTAAAATGTATTCTTTATATTTTATTAACTTTTTTTGTATTTTTTACTTTATTATCACTTTTTTTATTGTTTGAGACTTGCACAGTTAGGCCGGTTTACTGGTTAGGCCGATTGAACCGCTTCCAGCTCCATGTCTGGTTAACCATTCCAGTTCGATCTTTTCTACGTTGAATTAGACCAGCGTTCGAAATCACAACTCATGCCAAATGCGTAGCTTATGCCTGATCTGAGTACTCAGATCCAATCCAAGTGAATCGGGCCTTGTAGGGGTGAGTATCATACCAGCAAAATAATATTAAGAAAAACTTTAAAGATTACAAAAAATTATGGGAAATATATGTTTAAAGTAAAATGAAGGAAAACACATTTAAGTACGGTTTAAAAAGTTATGAAAAATAGACTTTAATAAATCAATTTTTTGACTAGGGGTATTTTGAAATAATCTAAAAAAGATGAAAAAATATAAAAATAATTATTCATGACCAAAATAATTTTAATTTTTGCCAAAATGATAAAAAGATTGTAAAAACACATGTCCCAAATTTATTTTTTATTTTTAAAATTTTTTTATGATATTTGTTAATATCCCTGAAGCGGAAACCCAACTTGGAAAAACTAGGGCTCGTTAGGGTGGCGAGCCCAATTATCATCCCAAGTACTCAAAACTCGGACCGATTTATTAAACACCGAATTAGACGGAGGCCGGTTCAAATTGTAAATGGCCGATTCAAATGAAGACTAGCATACGACAAATTCCGCGTGTGATCAAAATTGTTGAACATCATGTAAAAATAAACGAATTTTTAGATAAAAATGTAAAAAGATTAAAAATTATGGTTGGGGCACAACGATATGTCAAATCAATTTTTTTTGTAGTATCTCATATCACTTCACTCAGGGGAATTTACTATGATAGTATTATTGATCATCAGCTTATGAACTTAAAATTTATAAAATAGTATTTGTAAACAATTTAAAAGCGTAAAATTTTGTAACTAAAAATATGAGTTTTTAAAAAATCTAAAAAATAAATTCTAATTTATTGACTCCAGTAAGTAGCCAGCATTTGCAAAAAAACCTCGACAATCTCATCTAATATAGTAAGATTTGAATATAAAGTCCAACAAATTAGATATATATTATCATTCCTAGATAAAGTTATTTAATAAAAATTCAATTATATTTTTAAATAATTAATAATAAATCAGAAATTTAATGCATTTTATATTAATTATAAATTATTGATACAAAAATAGAGAACTAAATAAACTATTCATTGTAATCATTTATTATATACTAATCTATTCATTATATGAATAGCCAAATAAAAACTTATGATGGTTACTAATAAGATGTAAGGCTATTAGAAGGTATTTTTTCTCTTTTCTTCTATAATGGTGGAAAAAATACATGAGTTATTAATAAGGGTGCCATTTTTGTAGAGCCGAGGCTCTAAACAATCAAATTAGAGCCCATGTTCAAATAGTGTCGAGAAACGTGGTTTCAATACTGAAAATTTTTGTAATAGACATAAAATATACTTTCGTTGTTAATTATAAAATTTAAAGCTTCAAAAGTAGTGTAGATCAAGCAGATCTATGAAAACTTGAAAATCTTGAAAATTGACGGTCAAAATATGCATTACAAGATGTACTATTTCCGAAACTTGAAATCCTTTTTTTTCTCATGTTCATGTATCTTGATGTCGAGATGATCAATTTGATGATATTTGGACCTCAAAACAACCTCTTCTAGTGAAATTTTTGATGTAGGCTTTAATTTGATTGTTTAGAGCCTAGGCTCTATATAAACTTTTCCCTATCAAATACATTAAATAAAGACCATAAAGGAAATACAATTCGGAACCTAAAATAAAAAATAAAAAATAAAATACCTACAGGATCAAAATAGAGATACGTGCGCTCTCTATCCCTCGTGCATTCTCTGTGTGGCCATATCCTTCTATAGAATAGATCTAACAAATATTTTTAAACCTATCTTGTAAAATACCTTTACACATATCCAAAAATTTCTTTATCTATATCCTATATGTACTCACCTCTCTCCCCCCTTTATTCATCTCCGATCAACTCACTCCCTATATGTATTATGGAAAATGTTTTGATAGGGCTGCAGTCGTATCAAATTAACAAATTAAGTAAATCCTTCCCTTTGAATCCACAAAAATTGTGTAGTTCTCGTATTGGGAAACTTTCAATTCGATCATCTTGGCTTTTGATTATTATGATTGTGAAAAAAATCTATGTTTCAAGCCGTAGTGTATATTGCAACACATTCAAACTTAACAGTAGGTTTTCAAAATTGGTTTTAGATCCATCATGAAGATTTCGAAAAGCCCGTACTTGGTTTTAGAGCCATCATGAGGATTTCGAATGCCTAAAGTGCTTTGCGGATGAGAATTCAGAGTGACTCTAGTTTGTTTCCATAAAGCCTAAGCCCTATAGAAACTACGTCCTTATATTATAAATATAAAAAATAAATTATTTAAAGACCTAACTATTTCCTAAAATGTCTTCATCCATATCCTAAATTATTTATCTTTATATAGGAAAATATTAAGTTCCAATAACCATAAAAGTTGTTCCATTGTCTAATCTTAAAACTATCAAACTTGAAAAGATAAAAACTAATAAAAAAGATATGCACCAAGGCCACAAAGTCCCCACTTTAAAAGTTGCCTACCCTACATCCACTCTAAAGATATAAAGATAGAGTACCCTTTTATTCTGCCAACACATGTCTACTTTAAAAGTTGCCTACCCTACAACCTCTCTAAAGATATAAAGATAGACTACTCGTTTATTCCTACAACACATTGTCCACCCTTTTAATCGTAGCTCAATAATGTATCGTGTAGATATAGATAAAGAGTACATACATTGTGCACTTCAATTGAGACCTTTCAAGTGACAAAGAGAAGTGTGAATAACTGCATACCAAACAATCATTTACGAAATATCTCGGTTACAAAGAGCAAAACAGTGGGAAGGTAACAAAACATGCAGGCGCGGTTAGGTTAGCCGCATATTAAAACCCAAAGCCAGCAGCTAAGCTATACAATACACACACTTTTGCTGTTTTTTCTTCTCTCTCTTAATTTTTTTTTTTTTCCGTTTTCTTGAGTTTTTTCAATCACTAAACAACCTCGGTGACGGTTTTTTCCTTTTTTTGGGTTTTTTCGATCACTAAACAACCTCGGCGACAGTGGAAGAGGTGAGAAGAGGCTGAGTTAGGGTTTTGGTGGAGTGAGCATGGCTGATTTCATGGCTACTTGTGTTGCTAGTAATGGCTTCTTTGTTCAGCTTCTTTTCTTCACTCTTTCCCCAGAGAACAAGGTACAGGCCACCTACAATGAGCACTGCACCTATAATCCTGTGTAATAAGGAAATAAAAGCATGGTTTAGGCTGGATTTATTGTATTGGGATTGTATAGTATAAGAACACCTTTCTTTAGAATAAGGAAGTAAAACTGAAAGTATGCTACGAAGTTTGAAAATAAATTTCTATTAACTTTGAACCTACTCAATCATGTAGTGTCAGCCTACCGATTTTAAATCTAAAGACCTGAAATGACTATGACCGTTTTATACAAAAGATAAATGGGCTTATTGTATATATTTCCTAGATTTCAAAGTTGGGCAAATTGTAATAAGTAGCCAAATGGAAGTACACTGTTGACTGTGGCACATGTAGATATTCCATGGGACTCGTTTTTTGTTTTTAGTTTTTGTTTTCCTTTTTTTTTGGGGAAACTCTCTAAATAGAAGTACACTATTGGTCAATTGACAATGGGATAATCATGGTCCATGGATATTCCATGGCACCTTGTTTTCCTTTCAATTTCCTTGTTTTTTTTTTTTGGAAAATTAGTGGAGATTTGGACCCCTACAGGCTCTCAAGTATATTTCATAGGACCTGGCCATGCAAACTATACTATAACCAAATGGACTATGAAAAAGCGACCGGTCATCAAAGGGACATCATCCACTAAACAAATGAATGGTGAAGGCGATGAAGCGGGACCCATCAGCTCCCACACCATCACCATCAATCATTCCATCGAACGTTGATGACATGTTGATGACTCAATTGAGAGTCTACTAGTCCCAAGGTATTTCACTGACTGCACACCACATAGGCATAATGTTGGTGATGATGGGCTGCAGAGATTAAGCGCTGGTTAATCTCTACTGTTTTAGGAATTTGAACTAAAACAGTACATTGAAACATGGGCGGGTAGAGGTACTCGGCTTAGTTGAAACAAGTTACACAAACGAGTCTGAGTAACTTCTATGAATCTGAAAAAAAACAAAGTCGAAAAACATAAAAACATATACCCTCCGAGGTAGAATTGTTCGCCTAGGGCAATGGATGCAACAATGGCAACGACCAAGGTCTGGACAGGCTGGTACACAGCTACGAAGACGGGGCCACCCCTATCAATGCACCAAATCTGAACTGCAAAGGCGATCCCCGAAGCCACGAAACCCTGAAAGTACAAACTTCAGATGGGCATCTCTCTCTCTCTCTCTCTCTCTAATTCCAGTGTTGTAATAACAGTAGTCATAAAATGAGAAAAATGGGCCCTCTCTCTCTCCTTGTCAAATCACATGCATTGGGCGTGCGCCTTTTAACTCATGGTGCAGGGGGAATTTGCGTATGAATGGATGGAAAATCATTCAAATCTTTGAAAATAGGTGGGGGAGTGCGAATCATTATGTGAAAACCACTTTTAGTTAACGCAATCTTGGGTTTATAACTTCCAACACTCCCTCTTGATTCCTGTCTCACTATCCAGGGTCACAAAATCTTAGGCTTATTACACTCAATACTCCTCCTTGATTACTGTCTCACAATCATGGCTCTCTCTCTCTCTCTCTCTCCCTCTAACACACCGATAATTTATTGTATGTAAAGTGAGAATGAAGATAATGTTTAAAAATTGAAAAGAGGAAGAAGGGTATTAATTAGCTAAAAATTCCTAATCCTTCTCCCTTTCCAGTTCGGTTCTATTTCCTAAAACAATTCCTAGTAAAAGATCCATATTCCTTACCTATTTTAAATAGCCAATATACCTACAATAAACCCATCATCCCGGTTCCTCAAAATAAACATAAAAAAAAAAAAGAAAAACCTCACCCAACCTAAAAAGAATTAAATAAACAAAAAATGAAAGCCTTTCCTTAATAATGAATGTTTAGCCTCTTCGAAATCGAAATAAACCCATCTTTGCTGTATGTTCATCCCAATAATGAACTAATTGTTGTTTAATTGAGTGTTCAAAAAATCGAGTCGGGCAAAATACTCCCAATAATCAACTAACTGAACCCTGATTAGATGAAAACAAAACCCATATTTCCCATTTCTCAAACTCTAATAACCTAATGAATCGCTTAATTACCGCGTATAGGATGGTAAAGAGCTCTCCACCAGAGTGAATAGTCCAAGCGTCAAAGTCTCTCTCCATAAAAGCTGCTATGACCATGAACTGGAGCACCCCAAAGAAGCATGTGTATGATGTTACCGAAAGGCGTGCGGGATATTTTTTAAGGACGGGAGCCTGCAGAACCAGCCAACCTGACCAAGACAGGCAGTGCCCAATCAAGAAAATGCAGCCCAGGGTCCAGTTCTTGGAGTCGGCGCCGAGCCCAGTGGCTATGGCCCTCGAGCCCATCACGAGCGTCAGAGTGGGCGAGGGGTCGTGGGATATGATCACCGGGCCTTTGAAGAGGGTTATGATGGATGCACCTCCCACGCACAGGAGGGTGCCCGCCACCTTACCGATACCGTCTCTTCGCTTTATGTGGACAGCTTCAAGCCTGCATAAAATGACACATGAATTGGGAGCTTAGTGTGACTGTTGAAATGCTTGTTTACTTTGTTGCTTAGAGAGAGAGAGTGGGTAGAGGGGGAGGGGTGGAGGAGGTATGCCTGAGGGCGGCGGCCATGAGGAACGTGATGGCGGGGACGGAGTTTTGAATTGCGGAGGCGAAGGTCGGGGATGTCAGCTCCAAGCCCAGCAAGTAGAAGCCTTGATTCGCTGTAATCCTGTGTGAAAAGCCCAAAACTATGGTTAGTGATTGTAGAGAAAGAGTTGAGGGGGAAGGGAGCGAGAGAAAAAAAGAGAGAGGATATTTCTTGTAACATTTTGTTCTTATGGGATGAGAGGGAAATCGAAAAACCGAATACTTCGAGATTTTTTGCAAAGAGAAACAAAAAAAAAAGAAGGGTGTTTAGGTTATATTGAGAGACGACTACAAAACCACAACTCAATACTCAGTAGTCATAGATAGATAGCTAGATATATAGAGAGAGTGTGTGCATCTTATGGCGGGTACGTGCCGATTTCAAATCCCCATAAAGGACGAGGGTTGTATCGAGGTTAAAGCTCTGCGGTATTTTTTTTTAAGAATTTTGAAGTACCATAGATCAGAATATCCGAATAAGATTCATATAGCCGTCCCAAATCCCAAATATTTAGGATAAGATTTGAATGATGATGTATTTACCCGCATAGAGCGAGGAGGAAGAATTGGACGGCAAACGAAACCGTCAGGGCAGGCCTGTCCCTCCTGCCAACCACCACCATAGTTACAGAGCGTCAGGGTCCATCACTTACACCACAATTCAAAATTTAATGCAACAAATGAAAGCTTGATATTAAGCCAGAGATCAAGTTTTATTTTATTTACTTCTCAAGGAAATAGGCAAAGGGCAGGAGAAGGAGCAAGGCGATGATATTCCTATAAACTGGAAACACGAGTTTGCTAACACCCATGTTAAGCGCGGCTCTGGAGACGACATGGAAACCAGCGTAGCCGAACTGCAGGGCCAACATTGCCAAGTGTAGCTTCGCTCGCTCCGGCACCTGGCATAGCCTCTTCGAAGCTGAGCCATTGTCCGCCATGGTCCACAGAGAGAGAGAACTCTAGAGAGAGAGAGAGAAAGAGAGGGAAGTAGAGAGAAAAACAACAGCAAGGAGAAGCAATGGAGGATGGATAGAGAGTGAGTGCACAAAGCTTGTTTAAATATATGGAGGGAAGGGGGATAAAGGATGAAGCGTGGGATATTGATTAGCTAAAGGCAATGGGTCCCATGTCCTCTTTACTCTTCACTGTAAGGGGGGCCAGCAGTTCCCCCAATGAACTCTGCTTTTTTAGGGTTGTCTCCCACATTCTCTCTCTCTCTCTCTCTCTAGTATTCCTCCCCTCCCTCTTAACAAAAAAAAAAAAGTGTTAGTTTTTGGGCTTCCTCTGCGCAACGGTTTCTCTTTGGGGCTCTCTCTGTAAAATGTTGTTTTTTATTTTGTGTTTTCTCTCACGACAAGGCTCTGAACCCTCACAGTCCCGTCCCTCTCGACAATGCCCTCAACTGACAAGACAGCCCCGGCGCACTACGCCCTGCTTTAACACCCAGAGGGCTCCATGCGGGGCTCCTCCCTGAATGATGGCCACTGCACTAATAACATTATATATCTCATCTCTCTTCTTTTTTTCTCTCTCCTCTTTTTCATTATTTTTTGTTTATTTTTTTTTTAATTTAAGAGGGGGGCAGGGCATGAGTGCATATATTTCTCTCGATATTCACGAATGATGATAATTGAGGAGAGAGTGAGGGGTCGGTGATTCCGAGAGTGTAACTGTAACTGTAGGTGTCGCGGTCGCAGCACGATGGACGATGCGCAGCCCGCGTTCCCCTCCGGGCCGAACACACAAGCTCACGTGGGGCCCACCTCCTACCCCTTTCCTCATTGTCTCCTCGCTTTGCTGGCTTACCCACGCACTGACGACACCGCCACGAGGATTCTCTGTCTCTCTAAAACTACAGTGTCGAGTGAGTCTGGGTTTTTCTCTCTCTAAGTTGTTAAGTTTTTGCTGTCTATCACTATCTCTGTTTCTAAACTCTGAAGTGGTCTGGGCACCATCAACATGGTTTTTGGAATTTTCCCCTTCTCACTCTCAACTCTTTTAACACTCTTCGTCTTTCTCTCTCTACAACTACTGCTCTCTTTCTCTCTCCAACTCATAATCTTCTCTAAAACTGCTTAGTTTTGGTCTCTCTCCAGGAAACTACACACCACATCATGTTGCTCCTGAGGGCCAATCCACCGCACCTTCCCTACATCGCACGGTGGACATTAACCCACTCATATTTCATTTAGAGAAAACATTTATACTCCTTAGGGCGATCATACACCGTACACGTTTATTATTGTATGCTCTATGCTTTTTCCAAATTTCTAGGGCCCTTTATTAACTTTTACTTAGAAAGTGCTTTAACATTAATTGATTATATTATGAACCCACGAAACCTTGTTTATTAAATATGATTGTCTTTTGTAATAAATGGTGTTTATTAAATAAATATTATGTCTATGAAGAAAGTAAAACACCCGTGTGGTGTGGGGTGTTTGAGTGGGCAGGCTACCCTTCCTCTCTTTAAAGGACAATTTGCCTGCCCTATTGAAACCGCCATCATTAAAAAGGGTCCGCACCACAGTGGATTAGGCATTTGTTAAGGTTGCAAGATTTGGTGCGCCTTGTTGTGCTGGCTACCACTGCTTTCAATGGATATTTGTACGACCCAGTGCTCCTCCCTCTATCCTAGAGTCTTACGGTAGGGTTTGTTGTCTAATTATGCGTTAAAATATTTTATTAGATTTTTGTTTTTTAGCTGGTTGGGCTGGTTGAACCGGTCTGTTCACTGATTAGTACCAAATAACCACTTCTAGCCCGTATATTTTTTAGATTTTTTTTTTTAAAATATTTTTTTGACCACTTGAAATTTGTCTGGTTGGACTGGTTGAACCAATCGGTTGCTTATTAGTACCAAATAACTGCTTTCGGGATGATGTCTGGCTAATCGCTCGATTTTTGCTATACTGGTCCTGCGTAAGAGGTAGAGTTGGCAACTAGTAGGGCGAGCTATGGCCTTGATTGGATCATTGTCCTTCGAGGGCCGCTTGAAGCCAGACTAGCCTAGACCGGGCCAAAAGGGCCCAAGCCTAGGCCCTACCCTATAATGGCGATAGCTCCCGCTAAGCTTAACCCAACCCTTGGGCCACAATTTGTGGTACAAGACCTAGCTTTTTGGGGACTAAGTCGCCCATGCCGCCTCGCCCATTGCCAACCCTACAGAGTGTTGCCCCAACCCGCCCTTCCTCTCTCTCTCACTACTCTCTCTCTCTCTTAGTGTGCTTAACTCTCTCCTTCCACCAACTAAATGTGAGTTCAGGTGATTAAGAGCTTTTCTCATTCTAAGGTCTTGGCATTAGCAAGATTTCTCCACCCTTTAGTGTGTTGGCTCATTTATGGCAATATTCCTAGCGCATTTAAGCAATTGGGGCTCCTTTGATATCTTGTGTTTGGCTGTTTTAGTGCATTCATGGATTCCTTCCCTAATGAATTAAGAGAATCACAAAGTCTATATACATGCTAAAAGCAATTCTCTAGAACTTGTGATTCTCTTGATCTTTCAAATCTCATGGACACGACCTTTGTTTCTACATTAAGTTATGTTGTTGAATAACTTGCATAAGTTATTTTTGTTATTGGATTGAAGAGGTAATTCTCTTCCATTTTCTCTTCAAAGTTGTAGGTTTTGAACTTATTAAACTTAGTACAAAAATATAGTCTTTGCACCCATGTTTTTGCTTAAACACCCAGAAATTCTACAGATGTTTTGATATTCCCACCCATGTTCGATTTTGCATAGCAAAAACATGTGTAATTTGCAATTCCCAAAGTATTAATTATTTTGGCTTGGGAGAAAGATACCAATAGCTGTTATTAGTATTCACTTCAAATAAAGTAGTGGACAGTATCCTGACCCAAATGGAAAAATGAAATTTTAATATAAGATTCCTAGTGATCAAATTTGAAGTATCCTTTGGAATCTTTTTTTTTGGAGAATGTTAAATGTTTATCCTTTGGAATCTCATTGCAAAAAAAAAAAAAATGCCTTTGACACTAATGAAGAAGCATCAGGCCTGTTATGTATCCATGTGAATAAAGCAGTACCATGAGAAGTCAATCCTCCATTCATTATCTGAAATTGAGTCTCTTGAAGTTTGGTAGAGAAACCAACATCACCAACAAATAGGATACATCGCTTTCAATTCTATTTGCATACATTTATATACTTGAAATCAATGATATCTTGAAATCCATTCCCTAAGGCTTGGCCAGCAGCCCTTATGAATAATGTAGCTAATACTTTTCATGTACAGCACGTCAGCAACATATACGATTATATGGCAGGAAACTTAAGAGGAAAATAGAATTGAAAATGGACTGAAATCAGAAATGATGATAGGCAAAGCTTTGATAAAAGATTTTCATGTCTAGGAAACATTAAGGGACATTCAAACATCTCATTTTGCTTCATTAAGGCACAATTGGCATATCAAAGCTCACCCTGTCGTGAATTATGTGAAATTTACAAAGGTTTTGGCAGTGAAAATCGAACTATGACCTTTGTTTTCAGATTATCCAAAGAATTGCAAAGAAACTGCAGCTTATTTGACCTTAATGTTAGAGAACAATGAACATAAGAATAGGTAAAGAATTATTGATCTCAGTAAAGCTATGTTGATATTAGTTTCACTCATATACTTACTTGACATTATTGATCTCAGTAAAGCTTTGTTGATATTAATTTCACTTGTATACTTTCTCGATATACATTTTTGGCTAAGCATTCATGAGAATCGAATTTCTTTCTTTGTAGTCCACAAAACTAATTATTTGAATTTTGACAATTTAAGTGAGCGGTCCCATTTACCAGTGCTCGAGGCCACTAGTCACAGCACTCGCCTATATTTTGATGGGGTTTCGAGTGCAAAGATAGTATTCGAATCTTTAGCAAAGAAGTGATGTCGATTACGCTTCTTTCCGGTAGATTCCAAGTGAGTCTACTCCAATACGTTAACGAGCAGCCAAAAGTCGCCATCAAATTTGGCGTCGGCAACTCAAAAGACATTTTCTTATGGTCATCAACCCTCTCCAACACCACCTAAATATGAAGTCCCTCATATGCTATATTTCTTTTCATCACTGTTAGAGTTAATAGGAACAAATTGTGTCCACAAATAAAAAAAAGTTATTAGATCTTTGAAAAGATTTGTGAAGAGGATCTTTCTCAACATGCGCATGTACGTCGTTATGGAAGTGAGTTCAAGGAAATCGAAATTAATCATACTAATGTTTTCTAATCTGGTGGAAGAACTTAAATTGTACTTGAAGCTTTTTATTGACCTGTACATGATGGAAGGTTTAAGGTTAAGTAATACAAAAAAGAAAGCGAAAAAATTATAACTAACCTTATTACATATCACTAATAGAGCTACATTATATGTCTGATCTGGTCATGAAAATATCTAAAAACTTCTTTGGCCCTTCCACATGAATGGACTCAAAGTGCTTCCCACTATGACATGCACCCAGAACCTAGAGGGAATCTTCTGTATCGTACCATTAAGTGTGCTGTACCCAACTTGCAAGGAAAAAGATACAATGAGATATTATTTTACAATTTAGATATTCCAAACTGAAATGTTGTCAAGTTTAAATTTTCTTGTTTGATAAGTATCTTTTTGGATTAACATTCTTTACTTGAGGTTATTATGAAATTTTGATGTAAAACAGCTCAATTGTAAAAATATGAGTTTTTAAGTAAACAAATACTGGTGTAATAAATTTATTTTGAGGTCATATGATTCAACTGAATTGCTTAAGTCGACTAGAATACTTCTTCATGCCCCAAGGAACTTGAGTAGGTTTCCGTGTCGCAGCCTCATTACTATCCATCTCACTGGTTTCATGAAATTAATGATATTGTGGTGATTAAGAGTAAACATTTTCGAAGTAATATCGGAGACCACTTAACATTATGCTCGACAAAATACAAACCATTTGCTTTCACCGGACTATCTCCCAAGGCAAATCTCATTTCAAACTATCTTATCTAGCTCATAGAACTTTAATAATGGGATTTCTTAAGCATGGGT